GGCAGGCTTCACACTGCTGTTCGGGCTATTCTGAAAGATCCCGAACAGCAGTGAGAGAATAGCCGAATGCCGCCGAGCGGCATTTGGCTCGGCTGTTCTGCTCGGTCCCTCAGAGGCACCGAGCAGAACAGAAAAAGAGTGAAAAAAGTAGAAAAAAGTTAATAGAAAACGATTGTGCAGAGCTAGCAGTGACAGCTAGCTCCGCCCAATAGTTTCCTATTGTCCGGCGGCTCTGCTGCTTAAAAAAAAAAAAAAAAATTAAAAAAATCCCCCAGAACAGAAAAAGTGTGAAAAAAAGTGAAAAAAGTTAAAAAAAAATAGAAAACGATTGTGCGGAGCTAGCAATGACAGCTAGCTCCGCCCAACAGTTTTCTATTGGCCGGCGTTTCTGCTGCCGTCAAAAAAAAGAAAAAAAAACTCTCCCAGCAACTTTACGTTGCTGTACCGAGTGATTGAAAAGATGGTGCATGGACTACTTTTTCCAACTGCATTGTGGTACTGCGTATTGCAGCATAGTCAAGCCCATTGAAGGTGGAATGTGTGTTTGGGGTGTCATTCAAACGAAAGGGCAACGCAATGCACCTGCCACACAGAAATGCACAGTAGGTGTGTTTTGTAATAGTGTAATAGGTGTGTTAATTGCATGGAACCAAGTCCTGACCTGTAGAAAGAAATGGGCCAGTAGGCAGTCCGGCACTGTTTTGTACCACTGTTGCACTTTTTTTTCTTTTTTTTACTGTTGCAAGTTCTGACAGGTTTGGTTGAAATTAATAAACTTTGTCCCATTTTAAATTACTTCTCACTTTTCAGAATGTGGCATTTTATAATGAGGTATTTGGCTTAAAAAAAGTTGGGTCAAGAAAAACATAATGCAACTGTGACAGTGGCAAGTGAAGCTATATAATAAGCTATATAATAATGACTATGGGGTCTATTTACCAATGCCTTTGCCCAAGGTTCGCATATTCCAAACATAAGAGCCCATAAGAATGTGTTTTTTCTTGGGTGAAAGTTGTGTAAATCTGGGTTTAAAGCAAACATTAATGTGTCATTTGAAGTGTTTTTCCATTTGTTATTGCTATGTGTTTTTCATAGGGTGGATTAGACAGCAAATGTATGAAATAAACCTAGCACACATACTACCCTCAGGAATCTGGTGACATTTAAAAATTGTCAATACTTAATACATGGTCAGGAATGGGTTCAAAATAATTGAATCCTCCAACATGTAGAACTGTTGACCTTTATTAGCATATTGAATGATACAGAACTGTTCTAAATGGTGCTTGCATTTGCGGTGCTGTGCATGGAAGAACTACATTCTACACACAGACCTTGCAGGAAATGCAGCTATGGCTATTACTGACTAGATTGATGAATTGACACAAAACTTACCTTTCAGCTGCTGTGTGAACTAACAACCCCAGATTGGCATTTCGATCCTTCGTTTCATTGCCTGTGGATGGAAGTGTGCTGCCTGCACTTGTCATGAAAATGTCCAGATAAATGTGTAGAAAACACTCAACATTTATTATTAGCATCGAAGCTTTATGCATTCATTCAGGAAATGGCAGCTCTTTATCTATCTAGCTTTCTTTAACCCCACACTTTTTCACCGAGCAGATTTGCGTTCTGGACATATTAGGTGCAACGGAGTGTTTATGTATCATCCTCAACGAGAAATATGGACCAAATATCAATGTTTGAATGAAGCCAACTGCTTGCTTGGTTCACATCGCCAAACTACTAGCTTGTTTTTTTGTTTTGTTTTTTTCTGTCTTCCGATCACTAGATGGTTCATTTGTATGCCATTGTAGTTTTTTTGCACAATACCCGCATAACTGTAATACTGCTGATAGAAATGACAATTAAACCATGTATCGTGTACATTTCAGTAAGATAATCCTTCCCCTTATAAAAGCTGCTGTCACAGCAATGTAATAGTCACCGTGATCACGGAATACAGTAGAGGGCAATATGCATCAAGAGTGCCATTTATTGTATGCACAGTGCCAATCAATTCAATGAAAGAATGCATAACAAATGCGAATATGGGATGGTATATGATTTTTTTTTCAGAATTGGAGAAATAGCGAACGCCAAATAGCTCACAGAACAAGTGCAATCCGTAGAGGAAGACAAGCTTGCACAGAAGGCTTAATGCTGGCTATAGTCTATGAATGTTGATGAGTATTTATTTCGCTACGTCACTTTTGCACAGGCGCTCTGTGTTGGGACATAGACACACATACACATTGACACACAGGCACCCAGAGAGCCGTGCACATAGGCAACGTGAGCTGTAGTGACACAGGCAATCAGAATACGTAGACTTGATATAAAGAGCAGCCCTCCTTGGTGATTAGATGCATGTCACCTATATGAAATCTGTATGGAGAATGCCAAGCAAGCCGCTGATGTAGCGTTGTGTGCTGGCTGGAAAGCCCAGGCGTAGCTCTACATCGGCAAGGATCGGGAGGTGGTGCTGAACGGACAGCTCCCTCTCTATTCCACAACAGCACATCATTGGAGAGCTATGAGAGGAGGGACGTGGTGCTGAAAGAACAGCTCCCATGCCTCATACTAGATCACTCCACAAGCCCGGCAGCCACATCCACCTCCATGTGCCACCACCAATCAATGTGTCTGCCTTTAATGCCTCCATGTAGATCCCTGTATCCTCACACGAGGTAAAAGCGTGTATAACAGCGGTGCTGAAGGGTCAGCTTCCAATGTTCTAGTCCCTTTGTCTCTCTCTCTCTCTCTACCTGATGTCATTTGATTGCTTCTTTGCCGGACTGCTCTGCTGGGGCTTGCTGTAAATGCTTGACTTCACTTGGAATGCCCTGATGCTGGATCTCCATAGATTTCATGGCGGTGGCACGAAAAATCAAAACTTTGCTGACTGTAAATATCCTGGTCTTCGTAGGCATCATCCTGTTTTCGGTATACTGCAGGATCCAGGACAGGTCCCAGGAGCTGGTGCAGATCGTAAGAAGTTCTGACCGCAGAGTGAGGAGCAGAAACACCAAACTGGGGGCATTGGTCGACCGGGAGTCTATCCTGCAAAGGCTGGACCATCTGGAGGAAGTAGTATACAATCAACTAAATGGTAAGATACTCTTTGTATAGCCATAGGTGGGGTGCGTATGCCCTTTTTATAGTCAATGAATTATCAATAGGCATGTTTTTTTTTTGGCTTGAGCTAGTACTATGATACACATTTGGCATTACCGTACTGGATTCACTAACATTTCTGGTCTGAGATGCTGGTATTATTTTTTGAGAACACTACATTTAAAGGGATTGATATGAATGACAATTCTTATTATGATTATTATGATGATGGTTGTTATTATTATTCAACTAGTATATAGCATATTCAAGGCTGATGCCAATGTAACCCCAAGTAAAGATCATGGGATGCATGCACAATATAAACATGTATTTTAGTATATAGAATATTTCATTCATTATGTTTGCATTGCTACACAGGGGGACAGGGATGTGTAAAAAGTATCAACCAGATGAGCTTGTCAAGTTGTCAGGAGATGCTGGTATTATTTTTTTAGATCACTACATTTACAGGGATTGATATGAATTACTATTCTTATTATTATGATTATGATGATGATTATATTTCAACTAGTATATAACATATTCAAGGCTGATGCCAATGTAAAGATCATGGGATGCATGCACTATATAAACATGTATTTTAGTATATAGTGTATTTTATTCATTATGTTTGCATCGGCAACACAGGGGACAGGGATGTGTAAAAAGTGTCAACCAGACAAGTTGTCATGAGTAAACGTCAAGCATGACCTTTCATGCATAAGCAAAGTAATATGTTCGTCCATCTCGCAGATAATTGATTACATTTGCTTCACTGTGTACAAACGTCACTGACCTTGGACATGCGCCTGCTCTGGTGCTAGATGTTTGAGATTATATGAAACCAATAGCAGGTGTTTATGTTGGCTTCAACCAAACTACAGAGCTAGAAGTTTTACCCAGAAACCTTCCTCCCCTATTACTGGGATATTTAACTTAACGGTAAAAAAAGAACTCGATCAAATATTGGCGTGCACTGGAGCTGAAACATTCATTTAGTGAAAACTAGCTTAAAAGCAAAAGGTCAGTGGGCAATCACTGAAGGCAGAAACCAAGCCTCAGTAAACAGTTACATGCTCCCAAGATCTGATAATTCATTGCTCTCTGTTAAGTATTGCAGGATGCATGGGGGTTGATTTATTAAAGGAGTAACATATTTGCTTAGCCCAGTGAAGCTGTGATTGCTTCAGTCATTTTTTAAAGGAACTTGTATTTTCTACTGTCCTGTAAATGATTGGGTATTTAAAGTGAACACAGGTTTGGTGAGCTATGTTTGTTTCTTAGTAAATCACTGTCTACTTTAAAATCATTAGTAAATCATTGTCCACTTATAGTAGACCAACCCCTTGTAGTCAGTGTTTTACTTATGTGTCAGAAGAATTGTCTAATTCAAATGTATAAAAAATATCAAACATACCTTTAACCATTCAGCAATGATGGTGATTATCATTAACAATATTCTCTGGGCACTAAAGAGGTTAAAAATGGCAAAGTGAATAATATAGGCCTTAGAGTCAATAACAGGGATCTCCTCTGTAGAGGCCATTGATTTATTGGTGTGCTTTATTATGTAGTATTGCCAAGTGTGCACAAGTATTTGCAGACCAAGATCTGTTCACACAAAACTTTTCCTTAAGGGGTAATATTGAACTGATCAGTAATTCATCCAAATAAAACATATTTAACTGACTACATACGTAAGTAAGCATATTCAGTGACTGAAGAAAAAAAAAAAAGAAGATCACTCCACATATTGGCTGCCTTCAAAGGCACTGAGTTTTAAGTCGGCAGTGTAAAGCTTTGCTTGCTTCTTAATCTACTTTCTCTTTAATCCAATTGGCTGTGAAGTAGTGGCAGTATTCATAGCTGGTATAAGTTTATTTTTAAAAGAAAACTGTACTGAGAGAATATAGAGGTTGTAATTGCTGACCTCTTTGTATGAAAATGCTAGCTGCCTGGCTGACATGAAAATCCATTGTTTTTTCTTCTTTCTAAGATACTGACCTGAAAGTATGCTAGTATCCAACTGGCATGCTTATTTTGGGTTAGTGGTTCTGAAAAGTAATGAAGCCAGACACAGTCAAGCACCTATTCTGTCCACAAGGAGGTTGGCAATGACAGCTCCTCTTAGTACAGGTTTTCTTAAAGAAGAACTTGGGGCAAAAGTTTAATTAACCGTTGCAGTGGGGCTACCCCACACTGCTAAGGTTAACTGCTCATTTTGGTCTTGGGAGGAAAATAACATAAGGCATACTCACCTGATCCTCCGAGCTGACCTTCTCTGAAGGTGCCCATGCACTCTGCGATTTTCCTTCGGAAATCGTTCACAAATGGTCTTATGAACGATAATCGATCGGTTGATGGAAAACCAACTATTTTAATTACTGTACTTCTGGCCAAATTTCCTCAATCAGTCCAGCTGGAAAACTTGTTTTGAATCTTACGAAAATCGATGGATTAGTGGCATTTTCGTATGAAAAAAATTGCAGCAAGAACACTGCACATGCGCAAATGAAAATCCGTTTTGTCGATCGACAAAATTTGGTGAATTAGTATTGCTAACGAGCGATTATCGAAATCCACATTGGTCTGTGCATGATGGGCTATTTGAGCTAGAATCGAAAGAGGGTTCTTGGCAGCAATAAAAAATTCTGATCGAAAATCTATATTTGTATGGCCAGCTTAGGACCGGTCCAACCAGCCTTGCTCCCCCTCTGAAGCAGCAGCCTAAGGTCCCTGAGTCATCACATGTTATGCACAGTGTATAGGATGTGATGACACAGAGGCGCATAACATCATTAGAGCATAGGAGTAGACAGGCTGGAGTGCTGTCACCGCTGGACCAGCTCCAATGTTTGGTGAGCATTACTTTATTTTCCTCCCTAGACCAAAACAAGCAGTTAACTCTTGCAGTGCAGAGGTTAATACAATTTTTGCCCAGAGGTCTTTGATGAATCATTTGTTCAGTGTGAGATTGTAGGAAGACATCTGATGTACAGTATATTGTTTTCAACCAAAAATTGTCCTGTGGATATATACAAACTATTAAACTGAAAAAACTCAACTTACAACCAGGTTAAAGAACTAATTCAATATTCATGTTAAAATCTGGATGATGATATATTTATTGAAAGTATCAATTTACACCCAACTGGTAGATCAGCTGTTTATAGACGTGGGCAATTTGATTCATGAATCCCTGCGGGATTCAGGTGCAAACATTATGGGGTCTATTCACATCCGTAGCTTTGGCTGATCCTTCGGCTAGCTTCGACCCCAGGACCCCTTCGGTTCAGTAGAACCGAAGGGCTGCTGTACGGGCTAGTCACTATAGCACGTATAGCTCCTGAAGTTGGCCGAGGGGCTCAGTCGAACCAAAGGCATATGCTTCGGCTTGACTGGTAAAGCCGAAGCTGGCCGAACTGGTAAAGCCTTCTACTGACTGCTGGGTGGAGCCAGCCGTCATCTCACGGCTGGCTCCGGCCACTTGCACAGACATGTCAGCATCCCTGGTTACCGGGTAACCAGGGATGCTGATCTCCACACAGCCCAACTCTCCTGGACGCTCCGGGAGTCTCCCGCTATTAGACAGCGGCTCCCGGCCGCCCGGAAGAGAAACATTTTCTCCTGGAAAGGTTTACTCTGCTCGATTGAGCAGGGTAAACCTTTCCCTGCTCTGTTATCTTTTTTTTTCTTCTGACATCAGAGCCGTTGGCTGACGTTAGAATAAAAAAAAACCAGCATAGGAATGCATAGCTACATTTAGAGCTGCAGCTAACGATTATTTTCAAAATCGATTAGTTAGCCGATTATTAAGTTCGATTAATCGGTTAATCGGATAAACAATAAAAAAAATTAAAAATGGCTCCAATTACTATTGGCTATTTCAATTTGCAATAGCCAAAGCAAATTAGCTATTGCACCCGCCCACTTCTGCTGTCAATCAGCAGAGGGGACCTGAAGTTCTCCATCAGGTCCCCTTCTAGTGATTGACAGCAGCAGAACCGCCCGGGCCAATAGAAAACAGTTGGGCAAAGCTAGCTGTCACTGCATGTATTTTTTCTACTTTTTTAACTGTTTTTCTATTCTGCTCGGTACCACAGAGGTACCGAGCAGAATAGCTGCTGTTCGGCATCTATGAGAATAGGCCGAACAGCAGCGAGTAGCCGAACATGCTGAGCATGTTTGGCCGACTTGAAGCCAGCCGCAGCAAGCCGATGTACAGCTGATTTTAGTCGGTGTACGGCTGAAATTAGCCGTACAAGCCTGAAGTGAATAGCCGAACAGCGTTCGGCTCACTTCACTTCGGGTCGGTTATTCACTCGGCTGCCTATGGCCGCTTTGTGAATAGACCCCTTAATGTTTCTTGCAATTTCATTCTGCCTAATATTAGATGCTCCAATATTTGTGCTATTTTTATCAACCTCTTTGTCTAGGTTTTTTTTTTTGCTAATACACAGTAGCTAGTCTGTCTGATAAAAAATTTCTTCCCAACACCCACACAGGCAGCCAACACTTTTACATAATATTTTCATCACGCAAATGAACAGAACAAGCTCAGCTAATAGCCAGGGTTAGTGGGTGTCCAGGTAACTGGCAGACAGCAACATAGCCAATCCCAGAAATCTGCTTTAATAAAAACTGCAGCGTGGCTGTGATTGCAATTGTTTTCCTCATCATAATCTTCTGTATGCAAGCTGGCATTAATAAATCATCAATGCAAGACGAGAAAAAAAAAACTATTTCCCAAATAGAGTATATAACCTTTTGTGCCATAACCAACACTAAGATCTGATACATATTTTACTGTAATTGTGTCTTTTATCCTTCCCATTTTTACTCCCTTTCCAGTAATATGCAGCATTCATTGCAGAACATAATTAAATGTGATTCAAACGTATTTGCTGCCTGCCTTTCTTCTCCTTTATTATTATTGATAATGATTTCAAAGGTGCCAAAATGTAACAAGAGCGAGATAAAATTTAGTGAGATGAA